CCGGGGCTCCATATTAGCAAACCATGTAGAAAACAAGAACTCCATTCCCTATCCAGTTTTCCCCAAAGGATAAGAACATAAGCCAGGAAAAGGCTCTATCTTCTTCCTTCTCCTTTCGTTTCTTCATCAATCAAGAATTTCAACAATGGCACAAACTCTAGCAACTCCTGTACTACCTTCCCTCTCCCTTATCTGCAACACATCTTCCATCTCCAAGCACAGTTCCCTCTCTTTTTCCACTCCCACATCTTTTCCAAAGGTACACTTCACTCCCTTCTCTTTTCTTGAAATTTGCAGTAACCAAACGTGGGGTTTACTGAAGTTTACATTTTTTGAGTAGGAATTGGGATGGGGTTTGTCTTTCTTGCAATTTTCTAAGTAACCAAACATGGGGTTTGCTAAAGATTACATTTTTTTTCTTACATTTTTCGAGTAGGAATTGGAATGAGTTTTGTCTTTTCTTAATTTTTTTTCAGTAACCCAACATGGTTTTTTTTCTAAAGTTTTCGCTTTTTGAGCTGGGATTGAATTGGGGTTGCTTAATTTTCATATTTTTGGACTTTCTTGAGTTGGAATTGAATTTGGTTTGCTGAATTTTCCATTTTTCTGATTGTTTTGAGTTTGAACTGGAATGAGTTTTGTGTAGACTGGAGGTTTGGTTATAAAGTGTGTGCGTGTGGGAGGAGTGGAGGTTCCAAACAACAAAAGGGTTGAGTTCTCTCTGCAATACATTCATGGAATTGGCCGCACCGCTGCACGCCAGATTCTGGTAGACCTTCAAATGGAGAACAAAGTGATGAAAGACATGTCGGAAGAGGAGCTTATCACTCTTCGTGAAGAAGTCTCTAAGTACATGATTGAAGGAGACCTTGTGAGTTTCCTTGCTCTAATTTATACATTTTATGTTTGTTTTCGTTCCAGTGTGTATATGCTTATTGAAACTTATATGCTTAGGTAATTTGATTTGGATTTCTAGTTCATGTAATTTTGCTGTGATTGCTGTTTATTTTAGCTCTATAGTTTAACTTGTTGTCATTATGCCATTTGGGGTTCTAAGAAATTTAATTCATTTTGTCTCAAGATAGGAATTGAACCAAAAAAATAGTTTCACTTGAGGGGTTATCTTAAATCAATGTTTGGTCCAACTTTTACATGGAAAGAAGCATATTTGAGCTGAGAACGATGTCTTAAATTATTTTCTATCAGATCATGTACTTTAGTAATCTTGCTTTTAATTGGAAGAGTACATTCTTTTGATTTTGACTAGAGTTTCTTGATAATTCATACCTATTAGTTTTACCAACTTTTTCATGGAGTCTGAACTTTGCTTCGAGGGGAAATACATTTCTTAGACTAAATTTTGGATTCCAAATTTTAAACTAGTATGTTGTTTTTGGAGTAGGAAAGCATATTAACAAACATTTTTGGAGGGAAGTGACCAATAATCCTACTAAAAGGGAAAAAGGTAGCATTTTGTAGGGAAATGTACTAATTCTGCCAAAAGGAAAAACAAGGTAGCATTGTAGGGAACCGTCTATTTATAACTTTGCGTTAACTCAGTTGGAGGATGGCTCAACTCAATCTTCATGCTCCATAACTTCAACCAAATATAGACTTTCTGTAATCTTGTGTAAAGACACTAATCGATAACAGAATCAGTAACAGATAGATGCCCAATGACTTGCTTTTTTATTGTCCAATTGTTTTTGGATTTTCCTCGAGTGGTTTTTCGTGGCTCTTGCTTTGGTTTAATTCATCTGAGAATGCCTCCGTTGATTTAACAGAAGAATATAAATTGAAGTCTAAAACTAAAATAAAAAAATGTCATGTACTTGAACTTTTCTCAAGGCGAATTTTAGTGCTTGGTTTTCAGTTAGTAGAGACATTACTCAGTAGTAGCAGTTACCTTCCTAGAGGATCAGTCTTTAAAAGGTGTTCTTGCTAAGCTACAATTCTGGTCTCTCTATCTGTTATATGTATTTTTTATTAACTTACCCAAAAAATTAAGGAAGGATGGTTGTAGAATCAAAATTGTTTTTCGCAGGGTGGGGGTGGGGTATTGGGGTTTGCAGTATCTCATTCTTTTTCTTTTTTTACAGATATTTGTTTTGTATGTCAATTAGTGGAAACGTTTCGTCCTCTATCTATTTGTGCATCATTTGGCCATCTTCTTTGGTTGAAATAGTAGAAATCGTTCAGGGACATACTTTACGAGACTTGATTTTGGTGTCTTTATATAAATGAATTGCATACTCTTTCCTTTTCAATTTGTTTGTCGTATTTTCCTTTTTAGTCCATTTTAAAAAGTATGCCTCTTTCTTTTTTGTTTTGACAACTCTTTAGTTTCAACTTTTCATATGACATGTTTAAAACCACACGATCAAAGGGCATTTTAGTACATTCTACATATCTTTAGTTTAAAATCAGAAGATCCAAAAGTTTTCTTTACTTTCTTAAACTTTGTATCAAGTCAAAACCGGACAAACAAATCGAAACGAAGGGAGTATTTGTTAGGTGGGTATGTAGGATCATGGCTTCTATATGCATCACAGCCTTATCCCAAATTAAACAATTCTTATAGAAAAACAGTTCTTATGGAAATGTATCACAGAAAGAAATCGGTAGCTTGTTTTTAGCAATTGGCAATGTCGATTGAGATTATTGTGTATAAGGTTGTTTGTTTGATTGATGCTTCCTATTTGAAATGGAAAAATGATTATATACTTGTGGTGTTGGCATCAGAGGAGATTCAATGCTCTTGCCATTAGGAGGTTGAAGGAGATTCAGTGCTATAGAGGAGTAAGGCACATCCAAGGATTGCCTTGCAGAGGACAGCGAACAAAGAACAATTGCCGTACTTTGAAGGGCAAGAAAGTTGCAATTGCAGGGAAGAAGAAGGCACCTCGTTAAATCAAGATCAATTTTTCATTTCTTTTGGTAACTAACTTGTAAAAGTTATACCCTATATTCCTATGGCAAACTGTGCATTTGTTTGTTACGAGCAGTATTTCCATTGAAATCATTTTTCTACATTTCAAGATACGAGTTTTTCAAGAAAGAGTGTTGATGCTTATATTGTGGTTCTTGAGTGAGATGACACATGAAATAAGCATAATCTCTTTCTCAAATCTTGTTAAATGTGTTTTCATGTGGAGTAATTGCGAATTTGCGTCATTTTGACTGGATGATTTGGTTGACAGAAGAAAGGTTTGTTAAGTAACGTATGGTGTCATAATAATTGTTGTTGATGTAACGACGTATGAAGTGCAGTCCCTATCTATGAGCCTTGGTTGAAGCTTCAAGTTCAGTCATGTGTTTGGGCCAAGTATTTGCATTGGTGTGATACCAAAGTTCTACAATTTGAGTCATAGTATTGTTAACTGATGTAACGACTCGTTAGGTCATTTTGAGGACTAAATAAAAGCGTAGAGATGTCCAGATCGATCTACTCGTATTTCACTATTTCACTGCGTACTTGTTACCTCACACTAGCATTGATAGATGGCAGTGTAGTCTCTATCATTTTCAATATCGTCACGACCCCAGAAGAGCCCTCTAAGTTATCCTTTCTAAGGTTTCTGGAAGATTGTGCATTTAACTTAAAGAAAATCTTTGGTAGAGTTTTTCAAGATGAGAGTCCCTAAGTGCCCTCTTAAGTTATCCTTTAACAAACAGATTGCTCACCAACAAATGATATATTTGTATTACCCCACCTCCATTTTTATTTTATTTTTTTTGGTTTGAACGAGAGTTTTGGTGTAACTAGTAAAGTTGTTGCCATGTAACTAGGAGGTCACGACTTTGAACTAACAAATGTGAATAGTTTAGGGAGATTTTGATGTATCAACTCTTGCAAAATCGAGTTAGAATTAATGTTTCGATTTTTACAATTGAGACAACCGTTATCCATTCTAAGTACATTAAACTGAAACTGAAAAAAGAAAGAATATACCAAACATTCCAAAGTTTTGCAACCATTTTGGTTGTAATATTTTCATTTCATACCGTCAATAAATACTAATATTTCACCAGCCGTAACTATAAGAATAAAAACATACCAACAATACAAAATATGGATTTATAAACACTCAAAATTTAAGTGTTACATCAATAAAACAGTAAAAACCAGAATTTTCAGGCAATTTTTTGTTTATAGAAATCCAAGAAAATGACATTCCAACAAGAGCATTTTGCAATTTAAAGAGATTGTTATGTTAAATTTGCAGCTCCTCTTTCCTTTTCAAGGCATAGACCCACCCACCCCACTTCTCATTTGAGGGTAAGCAACTTGTTATTCCATCTCTTGCTTTTCTTATCCTTCAAGTGATGAGCCTTAGGTTGTTGGGTGATAACAGTGCTTACACTGTTTGAATGGTTGTTACTTATTGTTTTATAATGTATCGTACTGTATTATGTTAACAAATGCAACGTTTGGAGAGACTATACCCTTTTCCGTTGCTACATGGAAGAACTATTTGAAGGACAAACCTACAAGAAAAATAACGTACATGGAAGAACTACTACTACTACAAAAAAAAATAGTGTAAAAGAAAAAATAAGATTATTAAATAATAAGTAAAAGACAAAATGAAGAGAAAAAAAGGTAACGACGCGGTCACGCCAAATAGACCATTGGACAAAATGAAACTTTTCTTTGTTACCTAATGATGAATTAAACGATACAATACAATAAAATTTAAGTAACAATCAAAACAAACGTTGTATTTAAACTAACAACAAAACATAATACAATAGGTAATAACAACCATCCAAACAAGCTGTTAGAATGTCAAGTACTTGTCATAAGTTAACTTCTCATTTGCTTTGTACATACTCCAACAGGATTCTCATACAACTCTATCTATCTCCTCTTTCCAATATATTTCTATATCTATTTTTTCTTTCTTCTTCTTTCTCCTTCAGCTGGTTGTGTTTGAATGCCTAATCATTCTGTAGTTTTCGAGTTGTATTGTTTTTTTATCATTAATTTCTCTACAACTTATTCTTTTCTCCATCAAAGTTTACTGTCTTATCAAATGTAATACATCATTGAACACACAAGCAAGCATCTGAATCTATTGAAAGAACAGTAATCATGCCTTTTGGTTTGGTGTCAGCGTGGAACAAACGTAGGAGAAGCAAGTCTGAGGATATGCTAAATCCTTGTATGTTTCAGCCTTGTTGTATCCTTCCCCTTCTTAATATAGCAGCAATGTTTATCATGCTATTGTGATTGCCTGTGCTGCATCATATTACTTCACAGAGTTGCATATAGCTTCTGCATGTTATAAAATCCAACATGATTGTTTTCAGGGATATATAAACCTGTAGAATATTGGCAAATCGAAGACCAGAATCCACCTGCAGCAAAGAGACGCCATGGATCATCAGTTTTCACACTCAAAGAAATGGAGGAGGCAACAAATTCTTTTAGTGATGACAATCTACTTGGAAAAGGAGGATTTGGTCGAGTTTATAAGGGCACACTGCGGTCTGGAGAGGTAAGACAAACAAGATAAGGAAGAGAGAATTTCACATTGGTCGTTTATTTTCTTCATGTTTCACTTGAGAAAGTTATAACAAATTAGATAATTAAACCCTCATGTGTGTCTTATCTAGTGTAACACTGGAAACTTGAGAAAGCAGATCAACTAATATAGACTTTGTTTGTTTTGCCAATTGAAAGATTGTAGCAATCAAGAAAATGGATCTACCTTCATTCAAGGAAGCAGAAGGCGAGCGCGAGTTTCGTGTGGAAGTCGATATTTTGAGCAGACTGGATCATCCTAATCTGGTATCACTAATAGGATATTGTGCAGATGGAAAGCACAGATTTCTAGTCTATGAGTATATGCACAAGGGGAACCTTCAAGATCATTTAAATGGTTGGTTTATGAGCTGAAGTTTCCTGATTCGAACACTCTTACCTATTGATGCCTAACTATGTCTCACTGAAACTGCAGGGATTGCAGAGGTGAAGATGGATTGGCCCTTAAGGCTAAAGGTAGCTATTGGGGCAGCAAGAGGACTTGCATATCTGCATTCAAGTTCAGCTGTTGGAATTCCTATAATTCATAGGGACTTCAAATCCACCAATATTCTTTTGAACACTAGTTATGATGCAAAGGTACTCCAACATTTCATCCATTCTAATTTTCTTCATATTTCTGATAGGAGGGGATCTCTTCATAGAACTAAGGGTGTGTGTGGTATGAAGGAAAAAAAATTGGAAATGTTTTTTTGGAAAATAAGTGGTTTTCTTACTTATTTTCTGGTGTTTGGTTCGTAAGAAGAAAATATTGTTTCAAGAGCATTTAGATATAATATGGGAAAAATGCTAAGACAACAAACCCGAAAAATACTATAATAGGGAGTCGGGTCCCTAGTCGAGGCCAAGGTCAGGGTCAAAAATCAGGTTCCAAGTCGAGGTTGGGAGTTAGGCCTTGAGTAGTATCCCGGGTTGTGGTTGGGGTTGGGTTAGGGCCAGGTGGTGAGGTTGAAGGAGAGTTTTGGAATATTTTCCTTGGTTTATATAGGGAGGTCATTTCGTCAAGTTGGAAAACATTTAAGTCAGCCAAACATGAGAAAATTGGAAACATTTTCTGAAAAATGTTTTCCTTCATACCAAACACACCCTAATAGATAATCAATACTCATGCAGCGGAAATGTTTTCCTTCATACCAAACACACCCTAATAGATAATCAATACTCATCTGCTGCACAGATATCAGATTTTGGACTTGCAAAGTTGATGCCAGAGGGGCAGCAATCATGTGTGACATCTAGGGTACTTGGTACTTTCGGCTATTTTGACCCTGAATATACACTGGTGAGTTGCTTGCATATCAAATCTATGTCTGAAGTTTCTATAAAGTTGGATATCATATTTATTTAGTACTATTGATTTTCTTCATTACAACAAACAAACAATGTACTCTCTCTATGAGCAAAGAAAAAAGGAAACAAGCAAAACAAAGCCATAACACAAGAATGATGAAGAGAGTAAGAAACAAAAAAAAAATATCCAAAGTGTTACTACACAAAAGCAAGATGCAAACTACAAAATGAGAGAATAATTAGTAATCTGAAACAGAATGCATTAGGTAGTGGCTGCTGACTAACAATACTTCTCCTAAGCACACAAGAAAACGTTACAAAAAAAGAAGTATACGGGAATAAGCTTATCAGGGAAAGGAATACAGAAGAAATCACATACATAATTCATCTTCCTTTTAAATATGTATAGTGCTCTTTGTTCTTCTAGCTTCCCTTTCTCTTAGAATTAAACGTGGCATGCAAAAGAGTTAGTCTTAATGTTTGGTTCATTATTCAAGGAGAAATCTAATATGTGGTTATGTTGTTTCCTTGTATCTTCTTAAATAATAAAGAAATTCAAGAGAAAAAGCAGTTTCACGTTCAAAATAGATCTTCAATCAAACTGAAACCATCCTATCTTGTAAGATGAAAATGTAGCTAATTTCATGTTTATCAAAACTTAATCCATCAGGAAAACGTAATACAAGATATGTTCCATTCCAATGCCAACAATACCGCAAACTTGAGGGAAATCCGACTTCAGTGCATTTTTTTTTAAAAATGAAGTCAACATTTCAGACAGGCTAATACTGACATATCAACTATTAAAAAAATTTTCTTCAATTAAACAACACCTTACTGTAGTGAAGACATTCTTAGACAGATGTTCACCCCCAAATTGACAAACTAAACTAACAAAAGGAGGAGATTATGAATTGATATAGTCCTAATTATTTGACTTGCTTTATAGATATGGAGCAATCGAACCCACACTCCAATCCCTTATTCACTTAAGAGTGATGAACATTTTCAATAAATGCTGATGCTAAATGTCAATTTAGATAATGATCAACACCCTTCTTCTACTTTCTACGGTAAATACACACAGATATGCATTGGTCAGCCTTTTTTTCTTCTTCTATCAAAACAAATAATATTAACGCTCTACCTGCTAGAAGGAATTACGACTAGTTTTACTTGAATTCTGTCGCGAACATGTGAATGAATGTCAAGAAATTTCTTTCCTCATCCTTTATTCTTTTGATATAAATATTGTATTGATAGAGGAAAAAAGTTATTCCTCATCAACATTTCTTTCAGAAAAACCTTGCTAATATTATTTTCAAACAGACCGGAAAACTCACTTTACAAAGTGATGTTTATGCATTTGGTGTTGTTATGCTGGAGCTTTTAACCGGACGCAGGGCTGTGGATCTCACTCTTGGACCAAGTGATCAGAATTTAGTACTACAGGTAACGACCAAAAACATAATCCTAGCATCATATAGGAAAAGTGTTCAAAAAATGAAATATCTTCGGAATTTTTTTCACTATTTGACATCCACTTCTTTGAGGATACCGCAGGTGAGACATATATTGAATGATAAGAAGAGGCTGCGTAAGGTGATTGACCCTGAGATTAGCAGGAGCTCATACACAATGGAGTCTATCACCATGTTTGCTAACCTAGCATCTCGCTGTGTGAGAACCGACAGTAGCGAAAGGCCCTCAATGGTAGACTGCATCAAAGAACTTCAGCTGATCCTCCACACGAATACGAAAGGGCTAAGTATGACTATGCATACATTCAGAATGATCTAAGACCTTCTCAGATTGACATGGATGACACAAAATCTAATCAATATGCGCCAAGAAGGATTCTTCCAATTCAGAATTTGCAATATCAGCTAAGAGTTTTAAGTGTACATTGGAAAGAGCAATGAGGATGGTAGGATATAGTAAGTTGTCAAAGTAATAAAAGAACACAACCCAGAATCAAGCATAAGATCTCAAGTTTTCTTAATAATTTAATAATAGCCTGGACGAGTCTGAGTAAAACAAGGAGGTATTAAAGATTAGGAAGACAGTATTCTCATGAATGCCTTCTATTATTTTCCTGGCAAGCCCACTTCTTCTCAAACACGTTAGTGCAGAGATTTGATTATGTACACATTTGTTTGCCAATTAATAGAATCAATGGTGAGAATTTCTGGTCAAATGACTGAATTTTATCAGAAAATTACTTGAGTTTCCTGTTAAAATATGTAGTTATGTATAACATTCATAATGTTTCATCCTCACATATCAGAGAATGAAAACTAAGACTTCACTTGGCTGCTTTGCTTTTAAAACAGATATATTTAAGTTTGTCATATTCCCTGGAAAAGTTAACCTCTGATGATACTACATACACGCATAGAAAGCTATCACCCCGGTGTAAAAATAGACACATTCTTGTTAAAATTAAGGAAGATTAAGGAGTAATGATTCATTAGTTCATCACAAATACAATAGTAAAGTTTAATATAAGTTTCAGGTCCAATTCAGGTTATAAAAAGGAAAACAAAAGCTAAATCAAGTTTGATTATGTACATGTACAAACAAGGCAGAACAATAGACTACAGATAGATTCCAGAGAACAAAAATTTCATGTAAAGAGATGAAAAAGGGCTTGACCTTGGAAAATAATGTACCTCAAAAGTTGTCTATGTTTACATATTCACGTGTCCACTGAAGAAGTGTATTCATCAACTTCAAAAAGGCTTTCTGAATCTGGAAGGACTTTGCACATCAAGTGCTTGCGTCGCTGCAACGTCAACAAGATAAAAATGTTGTCTGTCTCAACAATGGTATATCCTGCTTTTCTATACATGTTGAGTGGAGCAGTATCAATCATTCGACAGTGCAAGTAAACCTCTCTAGAAGAACTCATTTGAGAAATTAGTTCCTCGCTTGCTTTCAACAGATGCCAACCTATGCCCCTTCTGTAAAGTGATAATAACAAATACCGAAACTCAATACTAGTCCATCATCCATATACTTTTCCAATAAGAATGACATTGCATTCATCAACTTTTCCTATGCAAGTATATGTCAAAAGTTCAAACAGAAAAAGACATTGGGAAGGGGACATATACAGCCAGAGAATGATCTCTTGCGAATCCATGTAAACTCTTGAATCACTTCTACACTCTCAAGGCATATATTTGACAAGTTAATGACACACATATATATAGACACACACACACACACAAACACAAAAACATATACATGCATATCTAACAAGTCAACCACAACCAATTAGTTGAATAGTACAACAGAGTCAGATTTGGCGTTATACCTTACCTCTTGTCTTTTACAACCAACTTGATTAACTAATTTTCCCCATCATCAATATGTTGATTGAGATAGAGAACTGATAATATATCAGTTGAGAATTAACACAAGAAACAAAGTACTCCCTCTGTTTCAATTTATTTCTCTGCTTTTGGCTTGGCACAAAGTTTATGAAAGTAAGGAAAACTTTTGAATCTTGTGATCTTAAACATGTCTAAAAAGGGGGAAAGAGACATTCTTTTGGAACAGACTAAAAAAGATAGTAACATAAATAAATTGAAACGGAGAGAGTACTAAGAAAGAAGCAGTTAAACTACACCTCCTAAGCAGCTTATCTACTGTCATATTGCAAATGTATGGAGAGTTCTTGGGAGGTGTAGGTGTGGGAGGATTAGCATTAGCACCCCTTTTGTCAAAACACACTTCCACAGTTCCAGCCAATTGCAAATCTGCATCTTCTCCATTTTCTCTATAGAATCCAAGAAGTGTAGCAGTATGGGGCATCAGTGCTCTTCTCTCAATCATATATTGCTTCACTAAATATGCCAAGAATTTCACATACCCTTTAGGCATCAACATGGACTCAGCAAAAGACTCAGCCAACAACCAAACAGTAACATCCATCTCTTCTTCCCTCATCACACGAACCCACAATGACCCAGATTCCAATTCTTGAAAATACCTATATTTCCCTAAAGATTCAAGCTTTTCAAGTTCTTGATTTGTCAGAAATCTACCTGTTTGAAGTGGGGTTTGGAGGACTGATGATGGTGATGTTGAGGAAGAAGATGAAGAAGATTGGGAAGTTGAAAGTGGGATAATCAGATTTGAAGTGTGTGATTTTGATGAGATTACAAAAGGGAATGTATATTTTGGGGTAAAGATTGAAGCTTTATGTGAATTGAAGCTAGTATTATGGTGAAAATGATGATGGTAGTTGTGGTGAGATTGAGGATCTAAAGAAAATGATAAAGAAATTGCAGTAGCCATTGAAGAAGAAGAAGAAGGGAGACTACAGGAAAATTGCTTGGCTGAACTGAAAGTTTGGATGTGGCAAAAGGGGAATTTGTGCCTTAAGATTTGGCTAAAGAAATGGACAGTGTCTGATAATTAAAATTAAGATATGTAGAAAGTAAAAAAAATGAGTGTATTTTGAATTTTTATAAATTAGTTAGTCTTTTTTTGCAGAGTTGCAATTTGTTTGTTTGAATCTGAGTGATGGGGAAGAAGCTAAGGTTTGTCTTCATCTGGTCAAGTTGCTTTCATCCTTGTAACTTTGATATATTTTCTATATTTATTCCTTTTTGTGTTTTACTTCTTTTAATTCCAAACTTTTCACACACGACAAATTTAAGACCACAAGATCTGCATATATTTAATTTAAGACAATATATCAAATTCAAAAGTTTTTAAACTCCATGTCAAACTAAAATAGAACAAACAAATTGAAACGAAGGAGGAAGTATAATTATGGTCTACGAGAGGATGATGTGGCATTTGTAATGCATTAAATATCTCTAATAAGATTTTTACTTTGGCATTCTCATCACATTGTTACAAGTTTCTCTCTAGGAGAAAAGGATTCCCAAATTAGATCATTAAGAATTTGAAGGATGAAGAGGCAACTTTCCACACACTGTAGTCTGATAGACTGATACCAAAACATAATACACATTTCTGTCAAAGGAAATGTAGAAATCTAAACATATACAAACACCTAGCTAGCATAGTAGTATATTATTCAGCAATGCAGTACAACATATCATCAAGATTCAGGTAAAAGCCTATAATCACATTGTGTTTCTTCTGCCTCATGAGATAACCTACTGCCCCCATCATTAGGTTCATCTAACCGGCAGATGACCAGAAAATAGAAGAAGTTGAGCAAACTCAAAAAAGTAAGTAGCCAGAAATAGTAATCCAGATGACCCTTATTAATGTTGCTCGAAAGCCAGCTCGTTTTGCCTCCAGTTGATGAAAGCCAATCCACACCACTCACCAGAATACTTACAACCAATCTCGACACAGCAGTTCCAACAGTGTACATAGCTGACGCCATGCTGGACATGCTTTTCGGTAAGAACTCAATCTGTCCAACTGCATGGGCAGCCTCAGCCACTCCGAGTAGTGCATACTGTGGCACGAGCCACATAGCAGACATGTTCACTAATGCACTTGGGTCATCCTCATGCCCTTCCTCTATTGACCTTTGCCGTCTTATGCTTTCTGTTATTGCTGACAACGCCATAGACAAGCAGATGACTATTAAGCCAATCCCCATTCGGATGACAGGACTTAGCCCTCTTGGCTGTCCAGTATATTTTGATAGCAAAGGGACCAAAACACGATCGTAGAAGGTAATCCAGATTGTTAAAGCAATAATCATAAACACACTGAATGATGCTGCTGGTATTTCAAAGTGAGGGAAGATATGTCTATCCATGGTCTTTGCTTGAAGTACGGATGAGAATTGACTTATGCCCACAAAAATCATAAAACCAGTGGACCACATAGGAAGTACTCTAATAAGAGCCTTGAGTGATTCCACTTGTTCCACTCTACAGAGACTCCATGGATTTGAAGCTGATCCATCAGGATTCAAATCTCTTTGAGGATCTTCAATCACGCAAGCTCTATTTAAACACCTATAACACACAATAAAATCACATGCCAATAAACTGCAATATCATATAGCACCTGAAAAAAGGTGAAAAAAAGTAATCGCAAAGAAATTATAGATACAGTTCATTGCTTAACATATAAAATTGTTTCAGAGGAATGAGGAATATCGACAGTGAAGGGACAGACCTGAAGTCATTTGATGGCGTCAAGATCTCGGATTCAAGTGGCGAATGATAGTAGTCATCACAATCAGTCAATGGAAGACGAGTATTTCTTTTCCTAAAACTGCTACAACTGCTTGAAGCAATCCTATGAACAAGCTTTCTTTAGCTTTCACTTTGACATAAAGAGGAGAACCGATTAGGAACATTGAGACAGACAAAAACATTAGGATAACAGGGATACTAAAGCCAACTCGCCAACCATAACGATCTTGAATATAAACGATAACTGTAACTGCAACAATAGTTGAAATCCCCGTGCTAGCATAGTACCAATTAGCTATCGAGAAGCCTCTGGTTCTCTTTTTTCCCCAATTGATCAGCACCAAATATTATAGAACAAGGTCTAACAAAACCAGTTCCAATTGACATAAACACAAAAGATGAAAATAGAACAGCGAGTTGGATTGGTGTTGTTCCATTACAAACATGTTGGAAGTGAGGGCAGGGTAAAGACTTGAGTTGCGGAATCGTAGCTGTGAGCCATAGAATAATCATTCCCTGTTGAAGAAGAATGTTTAATAGACGAATTAAACATTGCAAAAGTGAAAATGTGACAAATTACTCACAATAAGAGTGGAGATGGATCCAAAGGCAACAGCTCTAAACCGACCCAAGTAAGAATCAGCAACAATTGCACCAACAATGGCCAATCCATTTGAAAGTGCAGCCCATAATGCAAGAATACTAGTGCCAGTAGCAGCACTCATGTTATAATATGTCATCAAGTAGATTATCATGTTCATTAGTAACCCATAACTTGCTATTCTCTCAAATGATTCATTCACTGGAAAGAAAAAACAAACTTGAAATAAATACTTAATGCATGCAAACAATATAAAGAAGAAAAAATGAAAGAGAAGTACAAATTATGAAAGGCATGGTTCTAAGACCACCCTTTCTTGGCTTCTCTTCAGCTAATTCTGCCTCTCTCTCCATTTTCTCTACAACTCTGTTTTTTCCCTCTTCACCTTGCTCTTACCTTTAATTGTTTTGGTGCTCTCCTAAGATGAAAATAAGTGTAAGGGTGTTTTAACTTTTTCGGGTTTTTTTATCAAGAGTCGCATGCTCCAGTTTGAGACTATTTGTAATATGAGATTGATGATGTATTTAAGTTTAGTTATAATTCAAGACGAGATTAATAACTTACACCTAATTTAATATTTCATCTTTTTCTATCAAGTTAAACTATCTCGCATAAATTGGGACGGAGGAATACCTTAATTTCAAAGTTGTACGTGTCCTTTTGCCTTCAAATGAAGAACATGTGTCACTTCTTCTTCTTCCAAGCTCACTGCCATCTCTCTCTTTCACCAATGAAGTATCAGTACAAAAACACATCAAAACCCAAGGTCAATTCCTTTTATTTCTGCCAGACTTTGGTACTTGCATCTTTGAGTTGTATTCTTTAAAATTTCTTTGTGCGATTCTCTAGATAGGGTTTCTGTGTTAGATTTGCATGTGGCTAAACTTGAATTTTACGATTTTGATCGAAATTCGCTGCTCATTAGATAGTAATATTTTTCTGTTTTATGTTTGCATCATTCATTTTTTTTTCCTTTTACTATAGCGTTTTATTATCTTGAGAAAAAATTGGAAAACTGCAGTTTCCTAAAAAATGACGGTTTTTATACTTCAATTATTTAATCTTCATCATTTTCCAACTGTTTTCTTTGTCGTCGATTTGCTGCACTTAAGCCGTCTTTCGAAAACGGTGTCTTACTCCTTGAGATAGTGGCAAGTTTTGGATATGTTGTTGTAATCTTCTTCATTTTTAGTTTACTTGACGTGCTATTGCAAATAGAAAAAGGATAAATATATCTCGAATTATTAAAAATGATAATAAATATACTTTCGTTTTTTGGGACATTGTTATCTCTATCGTCCAAAAACTAAAACATATATATCCTTCATTCTAAGAAAGATCAAGTAGAACATATGGCGCAATTCTACGAAGGAATCCGATTTAACCAATTAACTAAACCCAAAATTTAAAAACTCACCCATATCCACCCACTTAACCCACTCACACTTAAATTAACCCAACCAAAAACCTAAAAAAAATCCTCATTTCCTCACACATAAGCTTACACAAACAAACCAAATAATTAAAAAAAATTCAATTTCTCTTCATCTCGACAGACCAAGTTCATCATCCATATAGTGCCCCAATTAACCCCAATACCAGATTCCACCACAATAACACCCCCAACATAAGAACAATACATGATACAGCTAGAAAACTAAAAAGGATCTGTCCTTGTTTAGGCAAATGGGTGATTAAAGCCCCTCTCAACACTAATAAGGGTTTCGGAGTTCATTTGATGAAATATTTTTTTCTAAGGAAGTACCAAGATACTTTTAAAAAAAAGGTCTAAACATGTAAACACTTAGTTGGCCAACATAATTATAGTAGTTGCCTCATTTATTCAAGAATGCAGTACAATATATAATCAAGATTCAGGTAAGAGTCTATAATCACATTCTTCCTCATCGGCCACATGAGGTGATCTACTGATCTCATCATTCCCAGTTTCATAAAACCGGCAGATGATCAGAAAATATAACAAGTTTAGCAAACTCAAAAAAGTAAGCAGCCAGAAATGGTAATCCAGGTGACCCTTATTAATGTTGCTCGAAAGCCAGCTTGTTTTACCTCCGGTTGATGAAAGCCAATCCACACTACTCACCATAATACTTCCAATCAAACTCGATACAGCACTCCCAACAGTGTGCATAGCTGATGCGAAGCTGGACATGCTTTTGGGCAGTAGAGAGTAGAAGAACTCAATCTGTCCAACTGTATGGGCAGCCTCAGCCATTTCGAGTAGTGCATACTGTGGCACGAACCACATAGCAGACATGTTCACTAAAGCATTTGGGTCGTCCTCATGCCCTTCCTCTATTGCCTTTTGTCGTCTTATTCTTTCTGTTATGGCAGACAATGCCATAGACATACAAGAGACTATTAAACCAATCCTCATTCGGGTCACAGGACTTAGCCCTCTTGGCCTTCCAGTATATTTTGATAGCAAAGGGACCAAAATACGATCGTAGAAAATAATCCAGATTGTTAAAGCGATAAGCAAGAACATAGTGAATGATGCTGCTGGTATTTCAAAGTGAGGGAACATGTGTCTATCCATGGTCTTTGTTTGAAGTATAGAAAATGAGAATACACCCATGTCCACAGACATCATAAAACCGGTGGACCACATAGGAAGTACTCTAAGAAGAGCCTTGAGTGATTCAACTCGTTCCAAACTAGAGAGATTCCATGGATTTGAAGCTGATCCATCAAGATTCAAATCTCTTTCAGGATCTTCAATCATGCAAGCTCTATTTAACCACCTATAACGTACAATAAAATCTTCAACAACTCATAGAGAAAGTGCATAGCATTGGAGTAATATTGACAATAGAAATCCCATTGATGAAAAGATGGAAACACTGACCTAAAGTCCATTGATGGAGTGAAGACCTCTGATTCAAGTGGCCAACGATAGTATTCATCACAATCACTCAATGGAAGACGAGTATTATTTCTTTTCCTAAAAGCTGCTACAGCTGTTTGGAACAATCCTATGACCAAGTTTTCCGTAGTTTTAGCTTTCACTTTGATATAAAGAGGAGAACCGATTTGGAACATTAAGACAGACAAAAACATAAGGATAATAGGGATACCAAAGCCAACTTGCCAACCATAACGATCTTGAATATAAATAATTACAGTAACTGCAAGCATAGTTGAAATTCCTGTGCTAACATAGTACCAGTTGAAATAGCTAGCAATACGCCTCTGGTTGTCGGGGTTCTTTTTATTTTCCAATTGATCAGCACCAAATATTATAGAACAAGGTCTAACAAAACCAGCTCCAATTGACATAAACCCAAAAGACGAAAACAGAACAGCAAGTTGGATTGGTGTTGTTCCATTACTAACATGTTGGAAGTGAGAGCAGGATGCAGACGTGAGTTGTGGAATCATAGTTGTGAGCCAAAGAACAATCATTCCCTGTCGAAGAAGGGATCAAATGTCTATTTGTTCAACTTTATATAAATTTAAAATATCAGCAATTAGTTGAAATTGTGAAACTGTGACAAATTACTCACAATAAGAGTTGAGATGGATCCAAAGGCAACAACTCTAAACCGACCGCAGTAAGAATCAGCAACAATTGCACCAACAATAGCCAATCCATTTGAAAGTGCAGCCCATAGTCCAAGAATACTAGTAGCAGTGGCAGCACTCATGTTATAAAATGTCATCAAATAAATTAGCATATTTGTTTGTAAACCATATGTTGCTATCATCTCAAATGATTCATTCACTAGAACAAAAACATTAAAAAACAATTAATTAGTACTCAACACATGCAAACAATCTAAACAACAACAAAAAAAAAAGAATTACCAATGATGAAAGGCATAGTTCTAAGACCACCCTTTCTTGGCTTTTCTTCTACTTGTCTAATTTCTGTCCTCATTTTCACTTTGTCTCTCTCGTTTTCCTCTTCACATTGCTCTTTCCTTTAATATATGACGAAAGATAGATAGATTAAAGCGAAAAGAGTAGTTAGAGAATAACATAAGAAAAATATAATCGGAGAACCCGTCTGCTAGCTCAAGATCGTTAACTAGGATCAGAAGATTCAACTAAAAAAGAGGAAGCTAGAATGGAGGATGTGTATTTAGGATTAAAAAAATGGCATGGAAGAAGACTATTTGATTTGAGTTGTTCTTAGGTTGGGTTAATTACAAATGCCTAATGTCACCCCTATTTATATTTGTATAGGGATGCTTCTAGAAATTATTCTAGATACATCTACAAGAAATATCTAGATATCCTTACCTTCTGACTATCTAGAACATCTAAATATGTAATTATCTAGAGCATCTATATTTTTTCTTAAATATAAATATCAAAGATATTTACTCTACAAAATTCTAGAAAGTTCAACTAAATATCTAAGATATTTTTTTGTACCTCCAAAAAATCAACATTAATTTTTCACACTCCCTCTTAAAGTTTTTTTTTTTTTTGGAAACTACCCCACACTTGTCGTGGAGGAGCTCAAACAAAGCTTTGAACCACATCTTGGGGAAAATCTCGACGGTTTCTTCTGGACTCCTCTTGCTTCTTCAAATGATAAAGATTTTCTGTTATCGAATGATCCATGTAAATTATCTCCTTGCGATTTCCTGAACTCCCCCCTTCTCTTAGTTTCTTGATAATTATATTATCCATAGAAACACTTTCAATTTCCAGTGAAGTCTCAACACCAACATATGATCCACTGCTATATTATCTTATCATCTCCTCAATAGATTTTTTGGCAGCTTCATAACTTTCAAAAATCATATCGATTTTTGGCAGCTTCATAACTTTCAGAATTTGCTCTGAGTCATTAATTGACCTTGATATTACAGATGATTGATCAAATACTTTTACTTCCAAAACATCTCTCTCAATGCTTTCTTTGTAAAGGTCGTCACTAGCACATGTAGTTTCAGATATTGCCTGTTCAAGATTTTCTTCTTTGAGTTCTTCAATAGCAGCTACCATATCACCAATTGGAACATCCTAAAAAATTTCTTGTTTCATGACTACAAAATCAGTTCTTGCTTCTCCACATGATTGGCTATATTATATTCTGGATCCTTGATCCAGTCTCTTTCAAGATCGATGGAAATCATGACATCTATTGCTTGAGCCTCAGCTACTAAACACTTTCCCCACTCTTCTTCTTCTTCAGAAATTTTTTGATCCATATTGCTCTCCTTGGCTCGGCAATATCTTTTTATGTGTCCTACTTCTTCACAACGATAACATCTGAGAGGCTTCTTACCAGAATAGTTAGAAGATTCTTCCTTCTTTCTAAGCGAGCTTGAAGCATCTGAGGATCGAGAGTGTGACATATCTCTTGATTTTCCTTAGAAGTTTCTCTTGTGAACTAAAGAGCATCCCCTTCTCCATATTTGATAAATAACTAGCCAACTGCTTGGCTAGCAATTCCTATGACGACAACAAATTTTCAAACTCCTCCAAAGATGGTTGTTGAGCCCGTCCTTGAATCGATGTCACAAATAGAATATATTCAGGTTTCAAACTACGAATGATAGTTATTCTCATTCATGCTTTAGTGATAGCCTCTTCCTGATTCAACAAAGATATCTCAGAACATAAGTTCTTAATCTTCAAAAATACTCGACGATAGAAAGATTACTTTAAGTGGTGTTAGCCAATTCATTCTCTAACATCTACAGTCGAGCTTCATTCTTCTTATTGAACAAACGATCGAGGTTCCTCCATATTTCATAAGCTGATTTACACTTTATAATAGGATCGAATAAATTGGAGAAGATTGTCCTCTTCAGAATGAACTCTACCTTCACATTAATCTGCTTCCACTTCTTTTATGCACTGTTATTTTCTAATCTGTCAGCTGGAGGACTTGTGTTACTCCCATCAACAACATCCCATAGATTAAAATATGCATCAATGCGATTATACCAAGCTCAGAGATTTTGTTTTATCCCATATAAAACCTTTTTCAATCTATAAACTGTATGCTCACTTTCATGCATCACTTAACCAAGAGGTTGATCAAAATATACCTGCTCTTGCAACTCTCCATGCAAAAAGGCTAATTTTACATCAAGTTGATAAATCGGCCAATTATTTTGAGCTGCCAATGCCAACACAATTCGGATGGTATCAAGTCTGACTTTCTGAGCAAGGACCTCCTTGTAATCCACACCATACTCTTGCTTGTATCCTTTTACCACCAAGCACGCCTTGTACTTATCAACTTCACTAGACTCATTGCGTTTGGTTTTATAAATCAATTTAACTTCAATCAACCTTTGGCTTTTGGAAGATCAGTAAGCTCCCAAGTATTGTTGTTTTCAATTGTGGCAATCTCAGCATCCATTGCTTTCTACCAGTTTACATCTTTATAGGCATCCTCAAATCTTACAGGATCAAAACCAGAAAATAAAGTTAAATATGTAGATGTATCTTCATTTCCAGATTGATCATTTCCACTCACCTCATAATCTACCATCTATGTTGGTCTTCTTCAATTTCGTTGAGGTCGGAAGCTAGTGCATTATTGATGTACCAAGGTAGAAGCACCTTCATCGGCTACTGGTTGCTCTTGCTCTTTGTCTCCATCGTCAAGACACAAAGGAAGTTGTTGGTTGTTTGGCGTTTCTTCCCATGATCAGAAATTATCTTCATCAAACACTACATCACAATTGATAATCACCATCTTGCTGATAGGATTATACAACTTGTAAGTTCTTAACTCCATGCTAACACCTATGAAAACTCACTTATTTTCTTTATCATTGAGTTATGTCCTTTTCTAATCCGGAACATAAGCAAATGCAATACACTCAAACACTCTTAAGTGTTGAACAACTGGTTGTTGTCCACTCCAAGCTTCTTCGGGTGTCATGTTCTGAATAGCCCGAGAAGGACTTCTATTCAAAACAAAGACGCTCCAGCAAACTGCTTCAGGCAAAAAAAACTTTTGGAACATGGTTCTTTCGTAAAAGGCTCTGCACAACGTTCTTGATTGACTGATTCTTCCTCTATCATACTCTATTTTGTTGATGAGTATAAGCTGTTGTAAGTTGCCATTGTATCCCATGAAACTAAAAAAATATATAAATCTTTGTGAAAGATACTCCCATCCACGATCAGTACCAAGAATCTTTATAGAACATCCTGTCTCCTCAACAAGAGCTTTGAAGCTTTTGAAACTGATAAAAGCTTTAGATTTTTTTTTTTTACAGAAAATAAACCTATGTCTTTCGGCCAAAATCATCAATAAAGTTATAAAATAATGTTTTCCTCTATTGAATATTGGATTTAATGGTCCACAAATATCTAAATGAACCAACTCTAGCTGTCTTTTAGCTCTCCATGTGTTTTCTTTTGGAAAGCTATCGTGAGATTGATTTCCAATGACATAATCTTCACAAATATTTGCAGGAATATAAAAATTAGGAAGATCTATAATCATCTTCTTTTGCTGCAACATTTTCAGTCCTCCAAAATTCAAATATCTATAGTGTCAGAGCCATGCTTAACTATTCAACTTTGTTTAAAAACAAAAATTGGTAGTGCCAATATTTTGCATATCAAGTGGGAAAAGCTTATTTGCAGTCATCTTTAGCTTCAACAATTAGTCCAAGATTAGAATTTCGGATTCTGCAAATTCCATTCTTGATAGACGCCTCGTATCCGGTCTCTTGAAGCTGACCCACACTGATAAGATTTAGCGCAAAGAAACATCAGAGATAATCTGCATAAATGAAGACTTTATTTGGAGTTTCACCTTCCATTTCCCTTTGACAGCAATGCAGAAATTATCTCCAAACTTGATTGTTGTGCGAAAAGATTCATCTAGTCCATAAAATACAGATTTTTTTCCAGACAAATGGTTGCTACAGCCCATATCTAAATACCATACACTTTTGTGGTATTCTTCCAAGGATTGTCTCACCATTAACAAAGAGACCTCTTCATCCTCAGTTACATATGCAAAATTAGAGTTCTCTCCATGTACATTTTTCAGATTTGTACGACATTTAGAATGGTAACGACCATACCTGTGACATCTATAACACTAGATATGAGACTTATCTACAAACCTTGACATCCCATTGGATGAGTGTCGTTGATCACGATTATGCTGACCATTCTTTTGGTGATTTCCCTCTTCAGTTCTCTTTGAGTTTCTTTCCTTCCACTTGCTCCTTCGGCGCTCATAATCTTTAGAGGTTGTGGTTACCTGTAATTTTTGCTCTTCTACATGATGTTTAACAATCTTCTACCCATGAACCATAAAGAAATTTGTAGTTCATAAGTGAAAGAGTGTCCAGAACTTTTGACTCTTCAATGGAGTAGATAACAAAATTGAATTTTGGCAACATAGACCGCATATCTTCTCAACAATGATGACGTCTTCAAGCCTCTCTCTCAATGAATCCCCATCTTGTTGGCAATTGTCATAGTGCGTGAGAAGTACATTGGCACCGACTCTCCCGACTTTATACACTGCTTCATACTCAAGGTCTCAAACTCACCTCGTAGAGTTTGAAGTTGTGCTCGCTTTGCCTTGCATTTCCCTGGTACTTCTTCTTCATGAGATCTCAAATTCGTTTTGACATATCCTTGCAAAAAATTGTTTCCAATATTGA